TGCGGTGTCAACGACCCTTAGTTCTAGTTGCACAGCGATAGCCTCGTAGGCAACGTTTTGTCTGGGAAAGTTCCCACCACGCAGATCGTGGCTTTTCGGTCGAATATACTTGCTTATTTTCATATGCACTTGCAATTATTCGCGTTCAAAAAGTCGTTGGAGTTACCAGGTTGTTTCAGACTTAGTTTACGAACCTAAACTCCACCCATTACGAATTTGCGGCTGCATTAGGAATGACTTATTTAATAACGGTTCATCATCGCTGCCGCAGTGCATTATCAGACTGCATTTTGTACGACAGTTTTCTGCCGTAAGATTCTTTCACCTAGTAAGAATTATCTGCATACATTAGTATTACTGTCTATAACCTCGATCTGTAGCTAAATTCGACGATGGCTCATCCAAGGACGCCGGCTCCAGATCCTCTGTTGGGCACCCTTTCCTTTCCGAAGTGCTCTAATTTTTCCTTTTAACCGTGTAAAGTGCAGATATCTTCATTTTTAAGGAACTCATCGTCCATCTAGCCTCCTTATTTCCGCTCACTCCAGTTGCCGGTTTTTATTGCATCCTTTTAGTACAGCGCCTTTTGTCACCCCCTTTCTAGGTCTATGCTCCCATGTCTAACATCGGTGGCGTTCTATTTGATCGTGACGCCACCTACATCGACTTGGGTGGAAGCCATCATTTGGGCGGTGGTAGACTCACTTCAGGCCGGCAAGCTATCCAAGGTGCCACGGAATCCGAGCTGATAAAAACGAGGCTGTTGCTCTCCGAGGAGGGTACTGCATTGGACGAGAAACTCAGTAGGGACCACGAAGTCCGTATAACTGCTGATGCACCGCTCCTCCCCGGCACACACAACGGCACTCAGATCGCCAAGACCTCCGGCAGCCTCCACGGCAGTGATGAGAATGTTAACAGTGAAAGCGAAGAGTCAGTCAGTGCCGCCAGTCATAATGATGAGGCTAGCAGTGACTTCGAAAATGGATCGGATGTAACGGACGAGGAGTCCAACGGTGTGCGCATGTTTGAGGATATGGTACTTCCGAATAGCGAGCGCACCGACGACAAGGAATCACACATCAGTGTGCCTGGTCGAACTGCAAAGTTTGACAAGCGCCACTGGGACATAAAAGATGCATTTGATGGTAAATTGGTGGCAATTTTTTATCGCCTGCTATTTCGTGCAATGATAAATCAACGTAGCTCATGTGCAAACGCTAATGATGCGTCGGACATTCCTATCCTAGTCTTATAAACGCTTTGTCCTGTAGTCTTCATACACTAACGGCTAGATCTCCAACAAGTTCTATACTTAATCAGGCTAATTAAGCAGACAAGACTCAGCTGGTTGATAAGAACTCAGCATTATGATTTTCGGACTAGTTCCTGTCTCTTGTAATTCACCCACCCACCCACTTTCTGGCTTTAAGGGCTTCTTGTTAAGAATACTGACTTCTGACCTATATAATGGAAATTCTACCTTTTAAATGCTGGCTTGGCTTGAAAGCTCTGGCCATGATGGCGTGGAGGTGACTGGATTTAGTTTCATGAGCTCGAATGCAGCATATATTCGTTTACAATTTTAGCTATTGCCGAAAATTGATTATTTAAAAAAGACTGTTAAATGTGGATCGCCGAAGGTGACTTTTTGTGTCTTTGTGTCTTAGTTTGTAATCAGATAAAGCAGAACTCAGTCTCTTATTGTTTGACATACTGTCTATGTTTATCGATGTATTACATCCCTATGCTTCACTGCAGATATGTCTAAGCAATTTTAGCGTACTGAATAACATTTTCTAGGGGCCAATAAAATGCTTCATTCTCATAAGGGCAGGAAAATCGAGGTTAGGTAGCATGATTCTCGTTTTATTTCAGTGCTCTGTACTGTAAATGAGTTACTGTACTCCAGGAGAGGTAGCGTGCGATGATGTTTTTGGCAGTCCTCAAGTTTGCACACAGGGGTAAACATATGTTCAGCTAAGAAGTTGAAGATTCCTTCAAATTCGACTTTGCTCGCTGAAGACGCTGAAGTGACTTAGCGAATCCCTAATCGACCCTCGTAGCGAAGTTATCGCTGTATGTCAGCTTGGTGTCCGCCACCTATAGTCATATTTGCCTAAATAAGCTAAAAATCAGA